TGAGTCCACGTTCAAGATCCAGAGGGAGCACGCCAGATGACATGGGCGATGACTGTGCAAGTAGTTAGTGTTAGACAGAAACAGGTTGTATTCTGGGCACAGTTGCAGTAGACAGTCACCATTATCTGACCTGCGACCAACAAGTCTCCATCGACTACCCAAACGACTCTCTCCTGTACCCAGATGCCCGACCTGATCATTCAAGGCTCCGGCTAGTGCTACAATATTTGTCGAACGCACTTTCTGTAGAACTGTTTACTGGTGGTAAAACCCATCCGGACTGCAGTCTGTCGGAGTATAGGCGGAAATGACGAAAATACATCGTTTCTCACACCTATTTCTCTTTACTTCGATGGAACTTTCTAATCTGACAGCGCATAGTCGACTGTTAGTGGGGATCCCATCGGTCAGTGCTGCCTCAGCTCTAACGCTTAATGTGACACCAGTGCCAGAAAATTCAGACGAAGGTGCCACAGGGTCCCAGGATAAACGCACATGAGACAAGCCTTTCAAGGCGACAGGTGGAAAGCGAATTTGTAGTACTTCACTAGAGTCTTGAATACGGGTCTCGGATAGACAACAGACGTCCATATTAAGACTTTCTAAAGACATAGCCAACCCTGTCTGTTGTCCGATCTGCATTAGTGTGAGAACGTTGAAGGAAGCCAGTTTGAATGGTATACTTGGTTTCAGAATGACTGTTTCAGTATTCGTATTGAGTGGTATCATTCAACTTTCGACCAGTCAGAGATCGTTTAGATAGACTTATCAATGTAGTATCCATACATTTCAGTAAAACCCTTACCAATATCTAACAGAGTCTGATGGTGAAGCGGGAGAGTTTTAGAATCCATGATAACGCTTGAGACAACTGGAAATTTTCTATGACAGAAGGCAATGATAGTAGGTTGTATGCTATTTTGACAAACAAATGCAAAGCGGAGTACTTCAAAATACGTTAGTCTTCTACTCTTATTAGTCTAAGTGAATCAACTACTAGTTTGTTTTGACACATATGAGCGATGTTAAGTTATGAAAACAATGTAAACGATAACGACCAAATAAACTTACAATCCAACTTTGCTGATTTATTCAGTTTATGTGCTAAATTTACACTGTTTTAGGATGCTAGGGGATTATCTACTATCTAAAAGTATTCAAACTCCGCCTGTAGCTCTTCTAGAGTTACTGCCGGTCCCAAGCCCACACAAAGGAGGAGGGTTGGGCATGGGGTTAGCGACCCCATCCCGTAGAAAAGCTAACTCGCTAAAAAAACGCTAACCAGAAAAAATCATTCAAACCATTTAAACTCTGTCCTGGGAGTTGAAGGAATAATTATGATGCCTCATGATGAAAGCCGAAATTCTTCGGAAGTCACGAGGCCGATGCACCTTCTAACGACCAGAGCAACACTCTTTACAGGTACATGGAACGTCCGGACAATGTGGGAGACAGGAAAGACCAGCCACATAGCAATGGAAATGAGGAGATACAACTTGGCAGTACTCGGAATCAGCGAAACCCATTGGACACAAACTGGACAACAAAGGCTAGGTACAGAAGAGATGCTGCTGTACTCCGGTCACGAAGGGGAAAATGCTCCACACACTCAGGGAGTTGCTCTAATGCTGTCCAAAGAAGCAAGAAATGCACTTATAGGATGGGAATCTCATGGACCCAGGATAATCAAAGCATCATTCAGAACAAAGAAGCAAGGGATCACAATGAGCGTTATCCAATGTTATGCATCCACCAATGATAGCAACGACGACGATAAAGATCAGTTCTATGAAAGGCTGCAATCAATTATAGAGAAGTGCTCACGAAAGGACCCCACCATCCTGATGGGAGATCTAAATGCTAAAGTTGGAGTGGACAACACAGGATATGAAGATGTAATTGGACGACATGGATTAGGAGAGAGAAATGAAAATGGGGAGAGGCTTGTAAACCTATGTGCATTCAACAAATTGGTTATAGGCGGCACAATATTCCCACACAAACGCATACACAAAGCTACATGGATCTCACCGGACCAAACCACAGAGAACCAGATAGATCACATCTGTATCAACAAAAATTCCGAAGATCAATGGAAGATGTGAGAGCACGGAGAGGAGCTGACATAGCTTCAGATCACCACCTGGTTGTGGCCAAGATGAAACTGAAGCTTAAGAAACACTGGACAAACAGCACTACGAAGGTTCAATACAGCCTTCCTTGGAGATACTGACAAGCTCCATGAATTCAAGATAACTCTCAACAACAGGTTCTAAGCTCTACAGGATCTACTGAAAGAACAAGAAACTACTTTGGAGAACAACTGGAAAGGGATAAAAGAAGCATTAACTTCAACGTGTCAGGAGGTTCTTGGTCCTAAGAAGCATCATCACAAGGAATGAATCTCTATGGGAACCCTGGACAAGATTCAATGAAGGAAGAACAAGAAAACAGAAATTAACAACAGCCGAACACAAGCAGAGAAAGTCAAAGCACAAGAAGACTACGCAGAAGCAAACAAGCAAGTGAAGGAAAGCATTAAAGCCGACAAGCAGAAATACATGGGAGAACTAGCAACAGCGGCGTAAAAAGCTGCAAGAGAAGGGAATATGAGACAACTATATGATTCAACGAAGAAATTAGCAGGGAGATATAGCAAACCAGAGAGACCAGTCAAGGACGAAGAAGGAAAGACAAACACTGAGATTCAAGAACAGAGGAAAAGATGGGCAGAATACTTCGAGGAACTGCTGAATAGACCAGCCCCATCGAATCCACCGAACATCGAAGCAGCACACACTGACCTTCCAATAGATGTCACTCCACCAACCATCGAAGAAGTCAAGATGGCCATCAGACAAATCAAAAGTGGGAAGGCGGCAGGACCTGACAATATACCAGCAGAAGCACTGAAGTCAGACATTGAAATAACTGCAAACATGCTTCACCTTCTATTCAAGAAGATTTGGGAAGAGGAACAAGTGCCAACGGACTGGAAAGAAGGATAATTCACCGAAATACCAAAGAAAGGAGATCTGAGCCAATGTGAGAACTACAGAGGCATCAGTTTGTTATCAGTACCAGGAAAAGTTTTCAACAGAGTGCTGCTGAATCGGATGAAAGACGCAGTAGACGCAGAACTTAGGGATCATCAGGCTGGATTCCGTAAGGATCGGTCGTGCACAGACCAGATTGCGACACTATGGAGTTCCTGAAAAGATTGTCAACATTATCCAAAACACATACGATGGATTACAGTGCAAAGTGGTGCATGGAGGACAGCTGACAGATGCATTTCCAGTAAGGACCGGAGTCAGACAAGCCTGTCTACTCTCCCCATTTCTCTTCCTTCTAGTGATTGACTGGATTATGACGAATTCGACATCTGAAGGGAAATACGGAATACAATGGACAGCTCAGAATCAATTAGATGATTTGGACTTCGCAGATGACCTAGCCCTCCTCCCTCATACACACGACCAAATGCAGATGAAGACCGCAAATGTAGCAGCAGCCTCCGCATCGATAGGTCTCCACATTCACAAAGGAAAAAGCAAGATTCTCAAATGCAACACGGAGAACACCAACCCAATCACACTTGATGGTGAAACCCTGGAAGAGGTGGAAACATTCAAGTACCTGGGGAGCATCGTCGATAAACAAGGAGGACCTGATGAAGATGTAAAGGCGAGGATTGGCAAAGCAAGGGCAGCATTTCTACAATTGAAGAACATATGGAACTCAAAACAACTCTCAACCAATTTCAAGGTCAGAATCTTTAATACGAACGTCAAGACAGTCCTACTGTATGGAGCTGAAACGTGGAGAACTACTACGGCCATCATCAGGAAGGTACAAGTATTTATAAACAGTTGTCTACGCAAAATACTCAACATCCATTGGCCGGATACTATCAGCAACAGCGTTTTATGGGAGAGGACAAACCAGCTTCCAGCTGAAGAGGAAATTAGGAAAAGACGTTGGAAGTGGATCGGACATACATTGAGGAAATCACCAATGTGCATCACGACTCAATCCCTAACTTGGAATCCGGAAGGGAAGCGGAAAAGAGGAAGGCCAAAGAACACACTACCCGGGAAACAGAAGCCGATATGAAAAGGCTGAATAGCAACTGGAAAGAACTGGAAAGGAAGGCTCAGGACAGAGTTGGATGGAGAATGCTGGTGAGCGGCCTATGCTCCTCCACAAGGGGTAACAGGCGTAAGTAAGTAAGTAAGTAAAAGTATTCAGGCAGTTAGGTAGTATTTTAAGGCCAAGAAACTACTTGAACTATTGATCAATCACAATAATTAAAGATATAATCATGAATTTCAAACCCACGATAAATGTTAAAAATTAGTCATCAGAAACTGAGGTTATTACTACTAGGCATTTTGTTTGTAATACAGCATTTAAATGGATGGTTTAAACATGATATCTTGAATTTCCTAAGAGAGCGAACCCCAAGAAAACATCCATAGAAAGAAAATCCTTTTTGGCTTTAATTTTTCACTAACTACAGATTGCTAGACAAGGTGGATGAGTGCTGTACACGAATAATATTTTATACTGTAGTCCAGAATTCAGCATCTAAACTCTACCGATTCAGATTATATTTATGGATGTTTCAATTTTTTCCGAAAAAATAGACTTGACAAAGAAATGTTACTGCTCTCGAGATAATTAGGATGCATGGCTGCTGACGCACAGACAGCGTAAATTGTGTAAAGCAGTTTACACGATTGGCAAGTGTAATAACGCAACGCTAGAAAAATGATAACAGTTTCGTAACATTACCAACCTCGAAGTAGACCAAAGTTCCACAACTCGTGGTTTTTGGATATATTCCACACGTGTATAATTTCATGAAACGAAATAAAGACAAAACTTTGATATACGAAACTAAAATCAGTATGTAGAGTAAACATCAAATTATCAAAATATATGTACTTGTTATAACTACAAAACTGAATGGGTAAAAACCAAACTAAATGACGAACCCTTCTCCTGTGAGTGCGCAACAAGGCTGTACATGCCACGGGTGGTCCCTAATAGACGTAAGGTTTAGATTGTGACTGATTTCAGCAACAGACATACAGCCAGAAACATCTTGTTTATTGGCAAAAATCAGCATTTTCGAACGTTTCAACTCCTAAAATAAACTAGATATTGTAGCTTACTTACCTCAGCAACTAGTAGCTTACACAGCTCCTGTTTAGTCAGGTATAAACGTTCCCGATCTGTACTATCAACCACTAGAATGACAAACTACATGCTGTTAACATATAATTGAAAAATACGTCTGAGCCTGCAAAGTATGTGGTCCAGGAAGCCCTAACAGAAGTCTGTCCACCAATATCCCACATTACGAAATGTAGGTTCTTCCACTTTACTTCCTCAACATTGCTTCCAATGGTAGGAGAAGTCTGTACAGCTTCTTTGAGAACGAACTGGTATAAAATAGTAGATTTTCCAGCATTATCCAACCCCAAAATTATGACTTTATAATCCCGAGAGTTGAAAAGCCTCCAAAACTTTGTGAACAATAAGCCCATCACCCATGTGGCCAAACTTTAAAAACCCTCTATACATTCCAATACATTTTTTTAAATTAATACTAAACTTGCTTCGAAAAATCGAAATTTATACCATTATTTATTGTCTGCATATGTAAATTATGGTGGTGATCACCACTTGTTTATCTTGAAGCTGATTCCGCGGGTTAATCAGGTTATGTTAAAATGGCTAAGGCTCCAAATGGTACAAAGGATTACGATGAAATGTATAAGCTTTTACTTGTTGGTGATTCATCTGTTGGTAAAACAAACCTTCTCCTCCGGTTTTCTGACAATAGTTTTAGCAAAACTTTCATAGCAACCATAGGTAATGTATTTGTCGTGGTACACACATAACTTTTAAGGCATTGACTTCAAAGTTCGCACCATAGAAATTGACGGGAAAAAAATTAAGTTGCAGATATGGGATACTGCCGGTCAGGAACGTTTTAGAACTATAACAACAGCTTATTATCGTGGTGCGATGGTAGGTTGTAACCGAATTCGCACTTATTTTTTTAGGGTATCATGCTTGTTTACGATGTTACTAATCTAGATTCTTACCATAATATCACTACCTGGATGAACAACATAACCGAGGTAAGTTTCTAAAAGTATCATGCTTATGTCACCCTGCTAGGCATTTGCACTAGAGTATTTTACATAGACCAGTGTTTAGCATAAGGCGAGCGGACTTGATTAGTTCCTTCAAATTTCTGAATTATTCTCTAATTCCAACCCTAAAACATGTAGAGAGTGTGATAATCTCACATCCAAGTATGGCGTCTCATTTTACGGCTTCTATTCAAGGAACAAACTTTCGGTCTTTAATCTAAGGACATAAGTTCAATGTTGCGCTTCCTATGACAAAGACAAACTGTTGATTTATGTTTACAGTCTTTCGGCCAATTACGAACTTTCTAGCAGTGAAGGAGTAAGTAGTGTCAGTCAGTGGGTAAACTTGATACCTGTTACTTGTGTACATCGGTTCAAGTCACCACATACTATTCAGTCTCAGTTCGGAAACGACAGGAGGATTGGTGGCCTGTGTCATTCCTGTCAATGATGGTCTCTCAGTTGATCCAGCTTTTTGAAAGAGTCGACGGATGGAGCCTCGACCACTTGGTGAGGTAATGAGTTCCACTCGATGATTCGATGGGAAAGTTGGTAGTCAGCTGAAGAGTAATTCGTTCTGGGATTGTGAACTTTTTTGGAGTGTCCTCGTAAATTTTCTGTTTTGGAAGACAAGAAAAATGAGGGTATATCAGGTGCAAATTTATCACTAAGCAATTTGAAAACTGCAATCAAGTCGCCTCTGATTCTTCGATGTGACAGCGGGAATAGGTTTAGCTTGGTCAGTGTAGTATTGTACGCGCGCTTCGCTATTCCGGGAATCAGCCTAGTTGCTGTTCTCTGAACCCTTTCCAAGAGTTCACTGTCTTTTTTAGTCAGGGGCTAGCTGCTTGTATGCAGTACTCAAGTTTATGATGTACGGACACTGTATACAAAGTCAGAAACGTCATAGCGTCGAGATGACTAAAATCCCTGCGTATGGACCATAAAGTCCTAAAACCTTTGGCGGCTATTGCACGGCAGTGTGCAGTAGTCTTTAAGTCTTGACTAACGATGACTTCCAAGTCATTGTGTGTCTGGACAATAGGTAACTCAGTGTTATTCATCGTGTATGTATCTGTACCCTGGTGGCCAATATGCATCACTATACACTTGGAGGTATTTATCGGCAATTGCCAGGTTCGGGGCCATTCAGATAATCTCTCCAGGTCATTTTGAAGTTCTAAGCTATCACCCTTACTTTGTATCGCTCTCCATATCTTGACATTGTCAGCATAGATTAAGACCGATGACGATAGCAGACGAGGGAGGTCATTTACGTACAGGAGGAATAACTTTGGCCCCAAAACTGTACCCTGGGGGACTCCACTAAGCACAGTTTCCCAGCTAGACAACTTGGAGTTCACCCTTACTCTTTGTTGACGCCCAACTAGGAAGTCTTTTATCCACATCAATAGATTGCTTCCAACCCCGACATTCCTTAGCTTATATAACAGCCGGTTATGCGGAACTTTGTCGAAAGCTTTGCTGAAATCGATGTAGGCTACGTCTATAGGTAACTTTTGGTCCTTAAGAGCGCACCAGCTTTCACGAGCGACTAATAAGTTTGTGAGACTAGAGTAACCTGTTGTAAAACCATGCTGCTTCTGCGAGAGGATCCGGTTTTCATCTTGATACTTTAACAGCTCCTTCCGAATAATCTTTTCTAAGATTTTAACAACCACACTAGTTAGGCTAATGGGTATGTAATTCTCAGGCCAATGTTCTGTACCTGTTTTGAAGACAGGACTTACCATGGCGTTCTTCCAGTCTTTTGGTAGACGACCCTGGGTCACGGATAGTCTGGGCACCTGGGCAGTATCACAGCCCTCACACAAATCAAATGAGATTTGTGATGCGCATATTTATCTGGTGCTTTTTGTACCAATATTTATGTGTTTAAATAAAACGGATAGATTAAAATGTATACTTAAAGGGTTCGCAACAAAGTTAGCTAATTCATTTAGTGACCTAGGATGCAGTTCATCGGGTCCAGTGGATTTGCCTATGCAAAGTTTAATCAGCAGACCAAAGACATCGAGTTTTTTAGTGGTCACGCTGTCCAATGTTTGTGTGGGGGGATTTTTATGGACTGGTGAGAAGTTGTAATACCAAATCCCCGACTAATAGAGTCAATAACAGAATCACTGTTACTACAAAAGATTACACGTTGAAGATACGATTCGAGAAGAAAATATAAATGAGTGATATAAAAACAAAAAAACGTTATGACGAATCGAGAATCTCCGAATATGGCGGAAGACAAACAACCGATACATCTGCGTCATTCCAAACAATTTCCACTAATGTCATTCAAAGTCCATAACCGTTAGTTTTGGTAATCACGTGGACTCCGACCAGACGCTAGTCAATGCTACACTTGTTAACATTGCTCAGTCCAATTATCAATCACTTCATGGACTGATCCCGTGTTTTGTTTTGGCCACCACTAGCTTTCTTCCAGACCACTCCTACACCCAAAAACGTCGATCGTAGATGTAGACAGTAGTTGGAAATACGTAACACGTCCCAACCACCTCAGTTGGTGTTGATTTAATACCTCATCAATCCATTTTCCATCCTTGCCCCCAAATGCCCTGGTACAGCCGAGAGTGGGGAGAGTCCGCTCTCCCTCTCGAAATCCTCTCACATGGCCAGCGAATATATAGCCTGTCAGGGAAGTCATACTCACTGCCTTCTCGTGGCGAGGGTGTTGTTTACGAAATTGAGAGGACGAAAAGCGAATGTCCGGCGCTTTAACCGGGTTGGTGGACATGGAGGGTCCACCTAGGGGAGTTGGAAAACCCTGATTCCAAACCAATGGTGCACATGGGCTCCAGGATCCTGATGGAACGAATGGCGTATGAACCTATTGTTGGTCACCGGCTACCATGGGACTGCATCTCCTTACGATGCTCCACTGCCTTGTGGATCAGACTTTTAGGTCAAAGGCTCCGGGTGTGGCCCCCTAATAAAACCACCTGCTTCAGTCTGGGCACTTGAGCTGTATCTCAGCCCTCACACAAATCAAATGAGATTTGTGAGGCGCATATTTATCTGGTGCTTTTTGTAACAATATTTGTGTGTTTAAATAAATAACATTTCCCATCCTTACCTAGTACCTTATTCCTAACTGCTTACCCCGTGGTCCCAAAGTACACGAGCAATCTTCGAAGGCTCCCACGGTCGAATACCAGGAACCTACGAATATCCCCTATTCCTAATAGCCATCTTTCACATCCATAAAGTGGAACGGACCAAACTGGTACGCAGTAAACTCTCCCTTTGCTTGGAACAAAGATATCTCGCCTACGCTGCAAGTGACGCACCTTAACAAAAGTCAGTCGAGCCTTATGAATCCGTGACGAGATTTCGTCAGACACCACACCATCGGTATTGGTGTGACTCCCAAAATAGGTAGAGTAGTCGGTGCGTTCAAATACTTCACACCCTATCATTAATTCGGGTTCTGACGCAAGTCAATCATGAAGTGATATTTTGCACTTGAAGGAAGAGAACTCCATCCCATACATGTTTGCACTGTTGCTTAAAATGGTCAGAATACTGTGTTTTGTTAGCGTCTTCATCAAACAGAACTACATCATCTGCGTATACTAAGCCAATAAGTGAATCTCGTGGTTGAAGGTCAACCCCTGAAAAGCCAGACGATGAGAGTTTTATCTCTAAAAGCATGTCTATAACGAAATTAAATAGAAGTAATTTTCCGACCACGTGTCTCAAACATTATCTGTAAAACTGTTCTGACACCTTTCAGGATGTGTCACTTTTCAGTCTATGGGACAGTGTCCTAGCATAAGTCTCATCAATTTTCCATGTATTTTTGCCCGTCAGTGACCCCATATCTTGGTCTGGCTTCCCTAACTTCCTTTTAACCTACTACACTAGTAATCATAGTCTGTCGGTGTTGGTGACAGTTGGTATACATATCACATGTCCGACATATAGTTTGAATAGCCGTTTCATCAGACGACATGCATTTCGTGAACTCGAATCGTTAGACCTGGTGGCACGTGTAGAAGAAGTCGAAGACAAAGGATAAGAGTTGATAGCGGAAGTAGGAGTGTTTCGTAATAAACATGGGGTTTGGTTATGAACGAGTAAATCTCTCATGTTTTTAGAGGTGCAATAGTGGTTATGACTACACACATACCTTAAAAGGATATTTTCTTGAATTACCTATCAAGGGAGCTGGATTAATAACACTCTTAGCAACGTGGGAGTGTGACTGCAGAACTTTGAAGACAACCGCTTGATACTGATTGAACAGACCGTTTTGAGCGGATTCACGAGTTGGCCCCTGTTACATCTTATGACTTGTGACCCCATCAGTATATGATGTGACGATGCCGCCAATTAGAGGACAGTTA